AAAGCCACTAAGATGCAAGGAGTTACTGAGTGTGAAAGAATATGAGAAAAAGAAAAAAAAATATTAAGGAAAGAGAACAATAAAAGAACAGGAATTAAGACAGAAGATAATGATTGGTATTGCATTTAAATTTTTGAAGATCAAAGTTGATTGGAAAGCAAGAGGCTGGAAGAGTGTTCCATAAGTGAGAAGTGCAAGAAAAGAAACTGTTAGCATAAAACTTAGTTAGATTTAGCCATTTCAACTATAAAATAATGACACTTTGCTGTCAATTTCGTACTGTGCTTAAATTCATAAAGTGCCAAAGAGGGAAGAAAGCTCATCAGAACAATTACCAAGAAAATATAGAAAAGGCACAGTGAAGCTATGTTATGGTGATGGGAAAGTGACTGAAGCTGAGATCAGGTAAGGACCAGTAACAATTGCATAATAGTTGATAAAGTTTAGCCAGTTTGGTTCTTTTAATCAACCTATTTAGAAAAATTTTAACTATAACATTATTGGTCTGAATAGTTCTTCCTCTGTACTTTGAATAAATTTTGATAAATTTACAAGGCTTGACAAAAAGTTTAAAGATTTGCACTGTTCACATAGTTTATTATGAAAAATGAGCAAATGTCATTCTCTGTGAACCTTAGCTCATTCTTTCCCTTCAAGATAAAATTTTTTAAATAGTATTTGATTTTTTTTTTTTTCATTCTTGCAGATTGATTCAGTATTGTCAACATTTCAGTCAATTTCCTTGAGTTGATAAACATTACTTTTGTAATTGTAATGCTTGCTATTTGTGAAATTTTATTTATATGCCAGAATATTATTTAGCGTAATATAGGTATTATAATTACAGGTTGCTTTAAGTGGCTAAATGATATAAAATTTTATATAACTGTTTGCATGATATTGAATATTATGAAGCAAGATTGATGAATTCAGATTACTAATTGTTAGAAAAGCTATTACATTTGCATTTTAAAGACTAAATGTTTCATTGTGACTTGTATGATTATAGGTTCGAGTCATATTGACTTCTTTTATTGTTTTGTTTGTTTGTTTTTTGTTTTTTTTTTTGTCCTTAATGAATGTCTGTATACATTTAGGTTAATTGATTTTATCAATGTCAGATGTAGCAAGTTTCTGTATAAATATGTATAAATGTAGATTTTCATATAGCTGTGTTTGAAGTTCTATGCAAAACTATTTAATGACAGTAATTATGTCTTTCACAATAATGCTGACCACATGACAATACCATGGATTTTTAATGAGAAAATTACTTCTCCAGAATTTTACTTGAAAGACAGTTTTGTTAAATATACTGTACTTATCACGTAAGTATTTGCACCGTTTTATAAATTTTAATTATGTAAAACCAATAATTGGTTTGAAGTTAGACAATTTTAAAAATTGGGCTATGGTTACCATGTCCATCTTATTCTAGATGCCATGGCTCTCCACAACTTTCTATCCTTTAAAGTTTGTTTTTTTTATTATCTCCCTCCTCCCATTTCCTGTTCTGTAATTCTTCTTTTATGTGCTGTATTTGTTCAGGGTGCGGGGAAATCCTGGCTCTCCGCAGTTTCCTGTATCCAAGCATGTTAAGTAGGTTACTCACAGTTTCTGTCCTTTACAATGCCCTGTGAGTGTCAAATTTTCTAACCTGTCATTCCTTTCAATACAATACTTTAAATAAAAATGATTGCCCTAAGACTTGAAGGTAGCAGGTTACAATTTAAGAACTACAATAAATATTCCATCTGAATTACTGATGTTAATTGATATTTTCCATATAGAGGTTTCTAATTTATCATTCTTAAAATGCATACCTTGCAGTAATGTTCTCATCATAGTTATCGTTTAAGACTAACTTATTTGAAAATCATGACAAATATCATAGAATTAGTTATATGAAAGGTGGCAAGATTACTGTTCCATACTCTACTTTAGAGCTGACTGTAAATAATTTCATTTTGTTTGCACCTGTTTTAATAATGCACTGTTGGTGCAAAACTGCAATCCTGAGTCATAATTATATTACATAACCAGTGACTTGTAAGAAATTATAAACCCTGTTCATCAGGTTTTAAAGCTTATTTGTTGTTTAATTTCACGCTGCATTGAAAGTCTTTGCTGCATCAATTTTTTTTAAGTTGAATCTTATTCATTACTTTTTTCTTTTAGCTTTCTGTTTTACATGTAGAATTTTTTTTAACAATTTCCATACCATTAATTTGAAATTATATTCTATGAATATATTTTTACCCAAAACAAAAAAACTTAGCCTAATTGTTATGGTTACCAAAACAGCTTGCCTTCATCCTTTGAAATTACATGATGGAAATTTTTACTACCATTTGCCTTTGTGTGCCAATCTTCTAGTAATCTTAGACATCTTGACTTGCTATCTTCTGAATAGACTTTTGCTTTCAGAGCAGAGCATCATGTGATGGCTGCATTTTATTCTGACGCATTCCAAGCAGGAATTGCAGTTCAAGAGAAATGAACCATAGTTTGTTCAAGCAGAAATAAAATGTATTTTTTCATCTTTCATTATTCATTTTTGACTAACAATGAAACTGTTATCTGCTTAAAACATGGCATTGCACTTTTCTATTTACAATTAAATAAGCAAACCATTATTAACTTGCAGCCACTCAACAACAAAACACCTGTAATTAATATTATCAAGTTAGTCTGACACACTGACTATTGTAGTGAGTTTGATCCTAACCAGATGTCTCAGATGAATAAATACCTCCTTAAATCAATGTACTTGATGAATAAATACCATTTTATCATTTGATAAAAGCAAAATTTTTTTTTCTTTTTCAGTTCATTGGGAATCTGCTAACTGAATATAAGATTTATTTTGTCAAGGTAATCCCTAATATGTGTAACCTACCTAATGAGCTTGTATAAATGGATGGCAAAATAGGGACTGGGAGAACTAGTTAGGAGACACTTTTTTTTTTTTTTAAATTCACCAAAACAAGGTGATAATGCCACAAGTGGTTACTGGGAGTTACTAAGGAGGAAAAGAGAGTGAGAAATCTCAGAAACTTGAAACTCAGCCCTAAACAGGAAACTGGAAATAAGCCTTTACTCATGTTAAAAAGACCAGGTCAGGGTGGTAGGCAAACCTATCTACTCTTATTGAGGAAAAAATAAATAGTAAATAAAATTTTACAGTTTAGGTGGAGATGTTAGAAGTATAGAGTTGAAATAGATTTTAGAAGGAACCAGAAACCCAATCCTAGACAGGAAACAAGGGCTAAACCTCTACTCTCCTTCAAAAGATCAAGGAGTGTGAGGGCTGTGAAGGATACAAAGTTGTGAATAACAATGCTCACCCATGTTCTGAATGAGCACAACAATTAAAAGAAGAATTACAATGAATTCTTTATATTACATGAATATAAAATATAAACTATTAATGTCCTTGGTAACTTTGTGCACTATAGATTATCATACTCTTGGTGTTTTTACTATTCATGTTTTTATTTATTTATAAGTCATTCCTTCTTTCTGAAATTAGCCTAGTGTAATTGCTGATAATTGTCAAAATTGAAAGGTCTGTAATTGTATGCTAAATTAAAGACCAAACCACTGTTTTTATGTGTTAGTAAGGGGAAAACAGTTTAAATAAAGAGAAAGCCTTCACATCATTGGTAAATTTTCTTTTTAGTCAAATCTCTCATACCTAGATGTACTTTATTTATAGGATTAACTCTAATCTTTTTGTAGATTATACAAATATCCGTTTTTAATTATAGAGGGCATGAATCATGCTTATGATAAAGAACAATGCTCTTTATTTACTAGAGGTATATATAATGCGATATCACAAGTAGGATTTATAAAATAAATACATCACACTTCATTTATTTGAATAATTACAGATAAAAGTATACATAGGAAATAAGCAAATGCAAAAATTTCTGTAGTACATTTAATGCATGAACATGTATAACAAATATAATATTTAAAAATTTAGTCATCTGATACTTATCAAAATTCTGCTAGAAAATTTAAACAAAATTTCAACTTCAGATATGTACCATGAACAGTACTACTCCCCAAAATTAATCTGATATTTGTTTGTAGTTGTGTGAAGACGTATTAGTTATAGAATCCGTTTCTGTAACATTAGAGCTAAGAGAATCCTGATCATAGTAACCAAATGTAACACAAGTAATTGATAGACTCCTGGTTCAGTCACTAGTTTATGATGACCTGGGCAGGAAATTCTTCCACCGATGTTCTGTTTAAAAGATCTGGAGAAGTCTCAAGGTCAAGGTTGAAACATCACAAGCCCAATTGAGCCAATTGTCACCCAAAACTAAAGTTAACAGATTCCTGACACTTCTCAAAGACATGGAATAATGATTAAGTTGACCACAATGCTATAACAAACTTTTGATAGTATAGTTTAGCTGTTCATTCACAGCTATGATAAGACAATTGTCTGTATGTCTGCTTGCTTTTTCACTTTTCAAAGGATGAAATGATAATCTAGTTATTTTGTTCAATTACAACTATAACTAAAATTTTTTTATCTTTCGATGTCGCTGTTCCACTTAAATTTAGTGTGCATTTCTTTCTGGCAACTTTATCAGACCCCCTCAAGGGGTGCTGTGTACCTGTGTGTGTGTGTGTTATATATATATATATATATATATATATATATATATATATAAATAAAATGGAACCTAGCCTACCAGTTTGTCACCAATAATATATTGATATGGCTTAACCTTTAATTTATGTTCTTAAGAAAAGCACATGGCCAGCTCATCACTTGACCAAATCCTGGTAACCTACTTTTGGAAAAACTATTCTACCTATAAAACCTACCAAGTATGTATTTATATGAACAAAGCCCAATGGATTTGGCCTAAGTTCTTTTCTTTCTGTTTTTTTTAATTTTTTTTTTTTTTTTTTTTCACTGAAAACTCTTTCTATAAAATTTTTCTGTCTAAGAAACCATACTAATCTGATAGTTCTTTATGCAAACAACAGCTTAATCTCATTTTGTAACTAGTTCTTTCTCTACATTTAATTTCAATAATCGTTAAATGCAATCAAGCCTTCTCTCACCTCTCCAGTTCTCAACCATAAAACTTGGCCTTTCTATATCCAAGTATCCTTGAAGCTCTACTTACCCTGCACAAGTGGATCACATTGACTTAAATCCAGCATGAAAAATCATTTATTGATGCATCTTGGATTTCTATGGCACAGAAAGGAGAATCATAGAGTTCATATTCTGGCCGAGTCTGTTGCGTTCAATTTTGCACTAATGTCATTGGGGAAAGGAAGGAATCCATCTCCTCTCTCTACCAACTATAGGTTAAAAATAATTGGGTAGAGTGAACTTACATTTCCTTAGATGGCAGCCAGTCAAGTTGAACGACTAATGGTAATTATTAATAATGTTCTGCAGTTTAAATTGTTTTTAATAAACTAAAATGTATAAATATTTTTTTAATAATATAGTTTATAAGGAAAGATGTATAGTCTTAGCATATACAAAGGGTATATTTTGACTGGTCCACAAAAAAATCTATGCAGGATGTGTTAATTTGTGAACTTTGTATTGTCTGAATTATGGAACCTGCTCACCTCACCTTCACAAGTGAACTTTTACAATTTAGCTCTGAACTGGGTTTTGCAGTCTAGGAGGCTTTTTCTGATATTGTCAGATGGTGATTTACCAAATGTAGCTTAGATTTGTCACAAAGCTGAAATTATGGGGGCACCCAGTGAGGATCAAACTTGCTACTCTGTCGTAATTGTTCTAGTAAGACAAGTTTGCTAACAAGTACATCATTTTGTGATGCTCTGATATCGTTAGATGAATTTATATTGGCTGTTGTTTTAATGTTGATAGCTTTTCAAATTTTGATGCAAGACTGCTAGAGTTGTTCAGTTATGAATTAGTATCATAAATGGTCAAAAGTGTATTTTAATAATTAATGAAGTTTGTAATATTTTTTTGTTTCATCTAAAAGTCATCTAAGCAAGTTTTGGCAGTCAGTCTTTATGTATCTTGCGCTTTGAAATTTGGTAAGAAAGTGGTTTTCAGTTGTCATGAATTAATGAAAGCATTAGAGAGTTGGAGTATAGAGATATTATTATTTGTTCTTAATATTAATTAAAGATACAATGTTGACAGATCGTGCCATTTGTCTTGCTATAGTGATGTAGATTATTTAGGTAAGCTCTTATTGATAGAAGTGTAAATCTTTCTCACTTAATATACTATTATAACCATGTAAACCTATATTGCTTAACTTAATACACTGACCCTAAACTTAAAAGGCTTACAGGTAACTGCTTGGGGATATCAGGTGTTGTAAACTTGGATATGTGAGTGGCATAATAGATAATGTCTTTGAATTGTTAATTGGAGAGTAGAGTTCCAATTTCAGTTGGGTTTATTATATTCACTAATACCCTTGGGAAAGGGATGAGTCCACTTCTTCTCTCCATCTATGGGTTAATTAGTTAGACTTGTATCATTAAAATCATTATTATCTTTAAAAAAAAAAAATTGTGTACAAAATATTTAGATTTTAGCATTAAATAATTCATAGAGGTTGATATGCTGCTAAACAAAATTGACCAATCTAAACTTAGAATTTTGGAATATTAGTTTTGAATGCAACAAATTAGAAAATATTTTAAATAGCATTTAAAAAAGGAAAAAAAAAAAAGAATAAATTCTATAGCCCCCCCTCAACTTTAGGTACAGTGAAAGCTAAACTAGTATTACATATGAAATACATAATTTCTATGTAACCATTTGTGGAGTCAACTCCTGCTATTTGTCCTGCCAGTCATATATTGAGATATCACAATTTAACAAATACAGATTGAGCATTGCTAATCCAGTTACCTGTGATTTGGCTTCTACCATAAATTCAGGTAGAATTTCAATGAGAGTAATTTCAAATTTCCAGACTTGTCACTTGAATTGGAAGATGGCAGCAAGTCTATCAATGTTCACTTCCACTGTGATTGCATTTATTTGTAAATTATAGCTTCCCATTTCAGATAGAGCAATTATTAACTTACTTTTATGCAAATCAAAACATTTCCTAGTTTCATTACTGAACTTGTAGCAATTTCCTGGGTATTTTATAGGTTGGATGAAATGCTTACCTACTAGATTATAGGTGTTTACCTAAAAAGCTGTGATCTTGACAGATTGGTTAATCTGTGATTGCACAAATCCCAATAGTATCAGATTAGTGATGGTTGACTAGTATTTGATTATCTCTTGAGTAAAGATTTTTTCTTAATTGATGTGGTTTGAAGTTCGTTCTTTTGGTTGATAAGCTTAATTTAGAAAATTTTTGCATATGAGATGGAATAGCAAAACTGAGTTTCTGGTAATAAATGAACATTAAATCTATGCTATGTTTTTATGCATATGTTCATGTCACTTGAAATTAAATCCTACATTGTTTAGCCTTTGGTTCAGTATGCGGAGCATGAACT